GGGTGGGGTGTGGGGGTGGGGAGACTAATTATGTGCAAAACCAGCTCCCTGCTCTGCTTTGTAATTCCCAACCAGTCGACTCAGTCCTCCCTTCATTCTGTCTCCACACTGGCCACCGCAGTGGCTTCTGTCCTCAGAACCCTCAGCCATAGCATACTCAGCATACTCGTCCCTGCTGGGCATCAGCTCCTGGAGGGCGGGGCTGGATCTTGCAGTCCTAGTGGCACCTACCCTCCCCCTCTCACTGCCTGGCAGGAAACACACAACTGGTGCTTAATAAAGTTGGCTGATAACTCAGCAGGTCATAGATGTGTACGAGCTATGTCCCTCAGGAGCCTATGAATAGGAAAGTTCTTGCCCTCTAGGAGTTCGCTGTTTAATATGGAAGATCTCCTTCCCCCACTCTCAGATACAGTGCAGGAAGAAAGCTGAGTTCCAGGCAGTTGCTGGGAGGGAGGGATGCATCCAACCAAGGAACCCAGAACCATCTTCCCAGGGCCATGGTACCTGAGCTGGGTGCTGAAAGAGGGTAGCAGGCTGACAGGCAAAAAGGAAAGGCATTCCTGGTCAGCATGTGGAGCAGGAGGGCAGAGGGTGTGCACAGGGTCAGTGCTCAGACCTCTGAGAGAAGGTGGGGACTGCCAGGGAAGCCCCCTCCATGTCTACCTAAGTCTCCCTTCCACCGGTGCTGGGCTGTTTCTCAGAGGCAGAGATTTTATGGGAACCAGAGGTACCTTTGTGCATGACATGGGCTGCCTGGAATTCTGCCTGACGGCTAAGAGGGAGTCCCTGCCCTGCGCCATCCTCCCCTTCCCCAGCACAGTGAGGAGCTTCCACTTCAAGGAAAGCCCTGGCAATTCTGCTCCTTTGAGAGGCAACTGACTGATCCCTCCCTTGCTTTCCTTCTCCACGCTCTGGCCTAGCGTGGTGTCCTCTCTTCTGTTCACTCACCAGGAGCCTGCCCTTCTCATCTTTGTAAATGATGTGGAGTCTTGGCTGTTTGACGTCTCAAGTTGCTGGAAAATGTGTCAGAGTCCAGGGCAAGGGAGACACAGGCTGTTGCAGTGTGTGAATGGTGCCCAGGATGACACAGAGGGCCCGAGAGGAGGGGAGGTGGGCATGCCTCACCATGCCAGCGTAGTGTCCCTGGAAGCTGGTGGGGGCTTGGGAGTCATGTGGTCAGAGCTATTTTGCTTAGTCTCTGGTCATCTCAGCATAGAAACCAATGTGAGAAACAACCTCTATGACTGTTCTTGCCCTAAGGACTGCTGACCCTGTTCATCCTACTCCCATGTGGCATGGATGCCTCGGAGTTTTGTTATTCAGGGTTACAAAGCACATACATGCTGCACACAGTTTTGCAATCCCAACACCATGCATAAGACTATCACAGCCAAATAATTCTAGTGACAGGGACATGCAATGCTCCTGCATCCACAGTCCTCCCAGGAGCTGGCCTGCCTGTGGAGTTAGACAACTTCAGGGAGTCAGAGCTGGGGGTGGGGGGTGTGGAAGTCACCCATGAATAACTTCCTCATTTGGCATATGGGGAAACAGACCTGCAGTAAGCTGCGTGAGACCAGACAGTTAGTAAATGGTAGAGAAAAAACTAGAAGCTGAGTCTCTGGACTTGCTGGCCACTCAGTGCCCTACTACTCTTACTAGCTAGTGCTAAGCCTCCCTACCTCCATCCATCCCATCACAATCACAATCTGTCAGAGCTGAGATGGGGCGTGTAGGCAAGTGTGGAAGGGGCAACTTCTTCCTCTATCAAGATGGGGGTTTCCTTTGGTTCACATAGCTATGGCCACATAAGTCTCCAGCTTTGGGGAGGGTCATTATTTGGACCTAGATGACCCACGGGGCACTGATTTAGTCTTTGCCTGTGACCAGGTAGACAATGTCGGGCAACAATAGGTCTCGCTGTGCCAGAGCACAGGGCAGCAGGCACAGGATGGAGAGTGACCCACAGGAGACACTCAGCATCAGGGCCTTAGGGTTTACAAAGAACGTTCATCAATATGCCCAGTGGAGGAAAGATAGGTGCCTCTGGTTCCTGGGCAAGCAGTTCTTACCAGGAGATGCCGCAAAGCCCTAAAGGGGTGGGGGGGGGCGTGACTCTCAGCCCGACCTTTCCCCCGGGCCCTCTTGCAGTGTGCTTGCATCTCCCATTCCACGTCCTCCTGGCCTGCTGTGCATGAGTACAGACGCCCAGCCACCCTGCCAGTGTCTTGACCTTTGTCTTCCTACTTTTCACCTCCCTGCACTGTGTTTGACTCAGTGAAGACTCAGGTGGAGAGGCCTGGGGGCGGGGCCCAAAGTCAGAAGCCTGGGGTGCCTATCATGGCTTGGAATGGGGACCCATTCCTGGCGAGGAATATGGAGGCACCAACCATGTGGGAGACAACGTACTTACACACGGGGGGCCAGACCTCACTGGAACCCACTGGACAGGGCAATGTGGGCGCCGAACCAGGTTGATGGTTTCTTTTTTTCTGTGACCACCTAATGACTTGAGGTGACGTGGGCAGCTTGCCTTTCCCTGCCGCTGGGGCTTCCCTGCCATCACTGTCTCCTCTAAACTTGTTTTCCTTGACTCTGCCTTTTCAATTTCTCTTTACACATATTTCTGTTTTATATTATATTTTATATATTTGTAAGTGACTTTGATTCCTTTGTGGTATTAGCTGATGAGCAACCCCAGGACTTAAACAAAAGCGGTTTCTCTTTGCCTAAAGTTACACGAAGTATTGAGCTAACTCAGAATCCCAGTTTCTGGGATTGCACAGGCAATGTCTCTATTCTGAGATCATCAGTGAGTTGTAATTGCTCTGACCAGGGCCTGAAAGGGAATCGAACAGTGGCTTTAGAAGAACTGGGGTACATTCCAATTTCTCAGTACCTCACCTGCAGCGCGAGCAGGGTGGCTCTGAAGGGGGCGACACCATGCAGAGCCAGGATGACAGCAAATTCAAAAGGACATAGGATGCAGGCAGGGCCACATTATGACTTTTAGGGGCTCTGGGCACATTTCCCTCTGTGGGTTCTTTCTTCTATACAAAAAAATTTACGACTATACTGGTAGAAAGAAGAACATAATCCTGGCTGGATTCATTATTATATACTCCTTTTTTCTTCTGAATTAAAATATTTTTGTGGCCCCTAAAAGTACCATGGGCCTAGGCTCTGTGGCTGCTATGCCACTGATGGTGAAGTCGCCCTGGGCCTGGTCGTGAGACTCTGGCCCAGGTCAAGAAGCATCCCTGGGCTCAGGATTATTTGGAAAGTGTGACATCCTGGAATCTCCCTCGGTAGGAACGGCACCTCATGCCCCTGGAGGCAAGGGCCTGAGTGGCTCTATGCTTCTGCCTTGGGGAAGGAGACAGAGGAGCCCTCTTCATGTTCCTAGACATCAGCTCTTGTTTGATTACTTCACTTTTCAAATGAGGAAGTCAAGACTAAGAGGAAGACACTATCCGATTTCCAAAATAACTGAGGGCACATTTAGAGTAAGAGTGTCAGTACAGTCCTGGACCTGCGCCGCATGCAGTTCCATTGTCATAAGAGCTTGTGAGTGTAACCTCATCCCCACATGTGGCAGGGGTCTCACGAATATGAAGCCCACCAATCTAGAGTTTGTGTGACTATGTGTGAACACAGTCTGAGGGTGTCTCCCCTTGACCCGTCTATGAAGAAAGGATGTGTAAAGAAAATGTAAAATGTAAGCAAAATGAGCGGGGGGGGGTGTTTACACTACCAGAATAGTCTTCTATTTTCAAGACATTTAGAAGTACTGATGTATGCTGTCAAAAAGCTAACCATAAACCTGTATGCTACACTATAGAGGATGCTTACCTAGTCATTAAAATCGACTTTCTGAGACCTTTCCTAAGCAATGTGCTATGAATGGAAAGAAATAAAACCCTATTTCTTTTCTTTCTTCTTTTTTTGAGTCGGGATCTTGCTCTGTTGCCCAGGCTGGAGTGTGGTAGCATGAGCACGGCTCACCATAACCTTGACCACCTCGGCTCAGGGTATCCTTCTGCCTTAGACTTCTGAGTAGCTGGGACCACAAGCATGCACCACCATGCCTGACTAGTTTTCTAATTTTCTTGTAGTGACAAGGTCTCACTCACTATTTTGCTCAGGCTGGTCTTGAACTGCTGGGCTCAGTGATTGTCTTGCCTCAGCCCCCCAAAGTGCTGGAATTATAGACGTGAGCCACTGTGCCTGGCCCCAAATCTTATATCTTAAAAGAATAAAAACAGCTGGGCTCGGTGGCTCAGCCTGTAATCCCGCGCCTTTGGGAGGCTGAGGTGAGTGGATTGCCTGAGCCCGCGGGTTCAAGACCCGCCTGGGCAGCGAGACCTCATCTCTACAATAAATCAAAAAATCAGCCAGGCATGGTGGCACGTGCCTGTAATTCCGGCTACTCGGAAGGCTGAGGCGGAAGGATCGCCGGAGCCCAGTAAGTCGAGGCTGCGGTGGGGAGCGGCCACTGCACTCTAGTCTGGGGGACAGAGTAAGACTCCAACTCAAAAAAAAGAAAAAAAAAAAAGAATAACAACAGCTTCAGATTGGCCCAAAGTGGCCCAGATCTGTGAGTGTTTTCTGAATGTTCTTTGCTGGAATGGAATGAGAGATGAGGAAAAGCTCCTTCAACTGCTAGTTGTGAGTGGACCCATGTGCTCATCAGCAGTCGCTGGGACTGCAGCTCAGAAGAGGAACAACAAAAGAAAAGAAAACAAACAAAACCTACCCAAGCCCAAAAGCAATAGGACTGGCCCCTATGTAGCCCTGAGGGCCCTCAGCTCACTGAAACTCAAATGCTCAAACAGTAAGCACTGAAAAATAGGATCCATTACAATAGACGTTGCTCCCTCGCTCTGTTGGACTTCACATTTCAAAACTTTACTCCATGCTTCTGAGGACCCCTACTTCTGGGACTTCCTACTTTCTACAAGAAAGAATATATTTAATTTAATGATTAATCAGGATCATGAATGGCTATGTCTTTTTTTTTTAATAATGAAAATCCATAAGGGTTTTAAATATTCTTAGACACACCTAGCTTGGCAAACATCACAGACCTCGTGTTTATGTGAATTCACACATAAGCTAGCCAGCTGCTCGGTGCTGGCAGGCCCCCTTTGGCTCTGGGACACAATAATTTATTAAGCTTCAATACTTAATAAGTGTGCACAAATATCATGCAAACATTACAACAAACAAAAAGTGTATTAGAGACATAGACTTATACAAAACATCTTGTAAACAGAAGAGAGGAGGTCGATATTTTCTGTACAAAATATGCAGGTTTTTCTTTCCTTTTTTTTTTTTTTAATAATCTGTAAGAGGCATCATACTTCTGGCATTTTCAAAAAGTGAAAACTGTATAAAAATAAATATTCTATGTACAAACACACACATAGGCCAATCCAAGGTTAGAGGCGTCACTGCAAAACAAAAACAAAACGTTTGGTTAGTTTCAGTGGGTCTGCGGAGGTTTATTTCCCTTTTAGGAAAGGAGGCAGATCTTGCCCTGGGTTGGATGGGAATTCCGGGCAAGGGGACCGAGGGAACCCAAAGTCCCTAGATGGAAGAAACTGGGGGCTACTATAAGCTTTCCACCTTCCAGCAAATCCCCTTTGTGGTCACTAGAGGACACACTCTCTCTCTGCTGCCTTGGAGACCTAGCATTGAGAATCTCTGGTGTCCACAAACTGTCATGAGGCTCTCTAAGACACGGTAGCTATTCAAAGCAGCTGTTCTTCTCCAATTATGCCCAGTCATGTCTATCTCCTAACTATCAGCAGCAGCCTTGAAGAGGAATATCTTTTTCTTGGGGGCAAGCTGCTGGGGGTCTTACTCCATACGGGTCTAACCTGCTTTTGTGGTGCTTTAACTGGATCTAGGTGGAGCTCGACAAAAGGATGAGGCCCAGCTTGGACAGATTCTTGGGGAGGCACCTTTCTTGAGTGCTTTTCCTTCTTTGGTTAGGGGGCGCCTTAGGTACCTAGGCAGGTAAGTATTCAGCCTAGGCCTGATGTCTTGGTATCTCCCCTGCTTTTACCCAGTTCCGTGAACTAGTGAGATTTTGAGGGTCCCCATACAGGAGATCTTGTCATTTCATTGTAAATGTGCCTCTGCTGTCACTGGACTAGGACTGGATTTGCTGGGCACAGATTCTTGAACAGGTTGGGGTCTCCAGGTCAATTTTTTTTTTTTGAGTTGGAGTCCCACTCTGCTGCCCAGGCTGGAGTGCAGTGGCACACTCACAGCCACCTCGACCTGCTGGGTTCCGGTGATCCTTTTGCCTCAGTCTTCCAAGTAGCTGGAACTACAGGCGCACACTACCACGCCCGGCTAATTTTTTATTTACTGTAGAGATGAGGTCTCACCAAGTTGCCCAGGCTGGTCTCGAACCCGTGAACTCAGGCAATCCTCTCACCTCGGCCTCCCAAAGTGCTGGAATTATAGGCTGAGCCACTGAGCCCGGCCCTCCAGGTCTTTTATGAGGATGAACTAACTCCTGAGATGATGGTGGTGGAGGAGGGTTGGTGAGAAGACTGAGTGAGAGGCAAGGCAGAGGGAGGTGGTGAGGGGCAGCATGGTAGCTGCAGCCTTTGCCAGGGCCAAGGTGAAGGGGGATTCTGGATTGGCAAAAACCGATGACCCTTTTCAGGCTGGGGATCTTTGCACTTTGGGCAGCCACGGTTGCATGGGGTGTGCATGTTCAAGGACACAGCAGCCCTTTTGCATTAGAGTGCTTTAATGATGATGAAAACCAATAAGTGAAAACCCCTTGTTGGTAGGAACTCTGGAAACCCAGAAGAGATTGTGTAGAAGCACGAGGCTCTGACAGCTCAAGTTCAAGGGGAAGGGTTGAGTGGTGAGCAGAACAGTCCCTAGGAACACGTGAGTTTAGAGTTTAAGCAACTTAGATGACCTACATCTGGATAAATGCCATCATATGGCTTACAGGACCTCATACGAACCCTGTGAGAGCAGCCGGTTGACAGTTAATTTAAAAGCATGTTCTGGAACTCCTTGAAGGAAAGGCACAATACCAGTTGACCACACAAAGCATAAAAATGTCACCTGTGTGGCTACATGGAAATTCCACATAGGGCTGATGCCTTGAGAAGCATTTAAAAATGTTCTGTAAGTGCCTGCAGTGCTTGGGATATTGAATGGGCAACCTGCCCTGGAGATAGAACATTTTTTGACCTGTGTCTTGCTGCCTCATCTGTAGAAAGGCAAAATGGAAATTGTGGAAACTTTATGGCACTGGTGAGGTTGCAGCTCCAATGAGAACTGCTGGGAAGTCTTACCTTGTTCCAGCAGCCCTGGACTGGTAAACCATCTTCACCCTGAAGGGAGGAAGGAAGGCAGAGGGTTCAGACCCACTGCCATGGTCCATCAAGCAGTCAGGATAGGGGTCAAAAGGGTCACAAATATTTTGCCAGCTGATCGGGCTATGGCCCATCTATCCTTGCTTATTTCTTTTCTCTACTCCAGGTCAGAACCTCAAAAGGGGATGGGAAACAAAGCCAGTGTTTTCCCATTGGCTAAGGTCACATGTAGCTACAGTGTGAGGCCAAGGGAGGCTGTCCTAGCCTGTGGGATTGGCAAGCAGAGACGTCCTTGAGGTCACAGGAGAAGGGTTTCTGCTCTTGCCTGTGGAGTGCTGGATGCTCACAGGCAAGTCACTCAGCACTTGGGGGCCTCAGTTTCCTCCTCTGTAAACCTGAGCAAGGGCAGTTGCTGGAAGTGGCCTCCAGGGTCCTCCCATTCTCTTGTTTGTCTCTCCTGCTAGGCAGTGGGAGGAGGACAGCCAGACAGCCTTTCTCTCTGAGGATCAATACTGGAATGTGGGAGAGGGGAGCAAAGGGACAGGCAACCCCCACAGGTATTGTAACACAGCCCTTCAGCAAGAGGACAAGGGTTTCTGGTGCTGCCTTAGACATTGCTGGGCATTGAGGGGTAAGATGTAGCAGCAGGGCCTGTTGGTCTCCTTTACTGGTGGCAGCCATGGAGCACCCTTAGCCTCAGGATGTTCTGTCCACGGAAGCTTCTCAAGTCTTCTGGGCCCTAATACCTCTCTGGCATACCCTGGGGGGAAATCTAGAAATTTAGAGACAAGGTGGTGTGGTTGAGGCTGAGCCAAGGTCCAACTTTCAGTCCAAGTCTACTAGAAAGGTAGCCCGGATTCTAGAATTCCAGGCTCCGGGGCAGAGAAAGAGATGGACACAGGGCTTCAGGGACTGGGGACAGTGCTCAGTTCTGGGGAGGTTGTTGAGTAGGAGTCCAACTCCCTCCACCCATGCCAGGCAACTTAATGTCTCATCCCCTGGCATTCAGCAGGTGCTGGCCCTAGCATGGAGGCTAAAGAAGTCTAGTTCTCTTGTAGCAAAAATCGTGATCTGTAGCCCCCACCATCCCCAAGTCCATAGTAACACAGTACACATTGATATGGGAAAATGTCATTTTGCATGAAGGGTCAGATAAGGGCTGGCCTTCATTTTCCCCTCTGGATCAGGAAGGGGGAAGTGGTGCATTCCACGGTTTCATGATGGCACTCTGTCCCCTTCCGCAGCCCTCCACAGTGCAGCACACTTCACACGGATTCTGGAAGGGAGAGGATTCTCCGCCGGCCAGAGTGGCATTCCCATTGGCACATGGATGGTGGCAGGGGGTGGGGCAGGGAGAGAATAGAGAGTAGTGGGTGGTGGGGAGCAGGGAGGCCAAGGCTGCTGCCAGCAGGGCTGAAGGTGTTCAGATGGTGGAAGGGGACAGTGGCTGAGTGAAGACCTGGCAGGTGATTAACGGAGGTGCTCTGAAGGGACTGGGAATTCCAGTTAAGAAGGTGCCGTTCATGCTGCGTGCTTGGGAACAGTAAGACAGGGGGCATGCAACCCGGGAGCATGCAACCCGGCCTGCTGGTTTTATGTTCTTCTTTCGTAGCATAGGCTGCTCCTAAAAAGTCCCTAGTGCCCTTCAGTGGGCCCATGGTCACCTCTTAGGATGACACAGTATATTTTCTTATGCCTTTTTCTGTTGTGTTCAAAGAGAATTCCTGCGTGATCCTCCACAGCAGGGATGTGAGGCCTGAAATTCTCATCTGACTATGACTGGCATGAAACTAGCTCAGGGACTCCAAATTCGCTGGGGAAATTTAGGGAGAGCAGTAACCTCTTCAGCCAGCCCTCTGGGAGTGCAGCGTCATCTTCTGCTTTTGCAGCAAGTTAAGAGGATAGGTGTGGAGGCCTAGAATGTTCCCACCCAGAAAGGGACTAGGCTATGGAAACAAACTGCTACTGCCTAGCCCCGGACATGCTTGGAAGAGGGGTTAGCTGTCTCCCTGCTTCCTCCTTAACTATGTCCTTGACCTTGTCATCCTTACCACACTCATCGGTATCTGACCGTGAAAGAAAGGGACACAAAGGAGGGTCTGGCAATGTCATCTGGGACTTAAGCAAAAAAGTGCAAACCCTTTAAGATCTAAAAACCTGATCTTGGACCATCCCCTGGTTCTGATGGTGTAGTCCGGGCAGTGACCTAGGACCCAACCTGGAAGATATAGGTGGAGTGGCTCTGTCCTCCACTTTGATTCTAAAACTTCTCAGTCTATCCCATGTCTATAAGCAGGCACATCCATCCCCACCACCACCACTCTAGTCTTGAGGTGGAGGGGGCAGGGGGCATGGCACCAACTCAGGCATCTTGTTCAAATGTTTTGCTAGTGCATTTGGAACTAATTGCCTGGCATGAAGGAAAAGGAGTCACAGTTTTGAGAACCTATCCAGATTCCTAGTTTTATCTCTGGTGGCAGATTTCTCTAGAAGCAGTTTGAAAATGAGTGTCGGATGCAGCCAAAGCCAACTTCAAGGGAGTGGGGAAGAGCGGCTCACATCAGGGTGATGTGCTTTAGAAGTATTTGCCGCAGGAAGCCAAGAACACATCCCGGTAAACGTTGCATGCAAGAGAGCGAGGCTGGGAGCCACAGGGGCAGTAGCCAAGGCAGAGCGACAGAGCGACCCCTGCTGTCTACAAGGTGAAGAAGCAGGACGTGGAGACGGGAAGGATGAAGCAGAAACCTGGAGGGCAGCTGCGGGGGCATGCAGCACAAACTGCACACGTGGGGGAGAGCCCCAATCGGCCAGGCAGGCAAAGGGGGAGATGCCATACCAATGGGCACGGGGCATCCAGTCCGTCCAGCCCTGGTAACCCCGGTTCCCCTTTCTCTCCTTTAAAACCTCGGTGTCCCTGTTCACAAAACCAACCGCATTGATTATTTAGGTCAAGGTTGGCCAGCTCGTCCTACCCTGGCAAAGATGCAGGACCCCTGAGGCACCTACAGAGAGGGGCTAAGTCCCAGTTGCTCTCCTGTCCCCATGTCCAGTTTCTCTCTTTGAACTCTGCAGAGTTCAGCGTTAAGAGTGTACAACCAGCCCCCCTCCAGTGATTTCCTTCTCTCTTGACAGACTCACTTGGAGTGAACACAAAGAAATTTCAACTTTAGTGCATCTTACATTCCGGAACCTTCACGTGGATTGAAAAGGCACTGGAGAAGCCTGACAGATGTGCCCCCAAATCATTGATTGTTGACTTTTGGGGAGCAAGGCTTCCTGTGGAGTGTCTGTCCACTGATTCTGGTCTGCAGTTTTTTTTTTTTAAGAGATGAGGTTTCACTATGCTGCCCAGGCTGGTCTCAAACTCCTGGGCTTAAGCGATCCTCTCACCTCTGCCTCCCAAAGTGCTGGGATTACAGGCGTGAGCCATCACACCCGGCTACTCTGCAGCTTTAAAGGTCTTGGCTGGATGGGTGGGGAGTGTCAGGAGGTTGCATTTGAAGCCCCCCATCTGGTCTCATCTGCCCAGTTGTGAGCACCTGTGGCGCTCAGGAGACTCTAACTCTGGTGTCCTGCATCCTGACCGAGTGAGGATTCAGACAGCTTGAACTGCTGGCCCACAGAGGGGGCCCCGAAACGAAGAAGGCAAACCTGTGGCTCACAAATGCTATATTGGCTTCCAAGGCCATCCTGGAACTAAACGCCGAGGCCTTCTCCGAAAATCCTTTTCCTTTCCTCACGGTTTTCTTTACTTCCACACATCAATTGTTCTGAGTCTTCAAAGGAAAAGGATTCAAAGGAGAGGGATTTAGCCAGAATTACTTGCAGCTGTGGTTTTAAGGCCAAACCAACAGCAGGCGGAATTTCACCGGTCAAATGAACAGATAGGTTTTGGTAGCATCAGTGTAGTCATCTGGTTCACATCTTAGTTTATTTGCCTTCTTTGTTTCTGACTTGCAAACCTCATGGAAAAACCCAGAACAATGCACGTGATAAACAAAGACATACCAACGGGCAGGGGGCATCTAATCCAGGCGCTCCTTGGTCTCCCTTATCCCCTTTAGGCCCTCTAGAGCCTTTCTTCCCCCTCTCCCCCTGTAAATAATGGTTTAGTCCAAGAAAAAAAAAAAACATCAAAACTTCAGAATCATCCATGTGTTAAGGTTAGAGACAGAAAAAGAAAATTAAAGAGGAAAAACCAAATTCTCTTAATTAGGTTATTCTCCCCAGTAGGATTTGGGGTCAATACCCATCTCCTCCCCTAAGTGCCTGGGAATTTGTTAAGGGGGGTGGGGAGGGCGCAGAGAGGAAAGTGGGGCCGG